AGCGGCACGGAGTGGGGGTATTTAGGAGGTGCACATGAGAAGCAGGCTCTGCTCTAGGATCTCTTCAGCTCCCCTTAGCCTGGGGTGGACTGGTGTGAACAGGCTGGCTGCCCCCATGTCAGATGTCCGCTGACATGGCTCCAGAGGCTCCCCCTCCCCGACCCCACCCCCCACCCCCCAGCTCCTGTCCAGTCAGCACCAGTGTTGCTGAGAGCATAGAAGCTGAGGTTGCAGTCGCTCTGGTCCCTGGGGAAGTGGAGGAGCTCAAAGTCACAGTTGGTCTCCGTGGTGAGGGCCAGGTACAGGTCGACGTGGCCGTCGGGGTCCACTCGGGCCCGCGGGCTCTGGTCCTGCCAGTCCACCCAGAGCCTGTTGGTGGAGGAAGACAGCACAGCAGGAGGCTTGGCCGCTTCTCAGAAGGGGGAGGTGGGGGAGACCCCAGCCTAGCCCAGCTGCCCTCTCCTGCCATCCCCGTTCCAGAAGGGTGAGGGGGACACGAGGCAGTGGGATGTGCCTGTGGTCTGGCAGGGCCACCGGGGAGGGGGACAGTCACTAAGGAGGGCCTCCTGGCACAAGAACTCTCGCCCCACTTACGCCTCCTGAATTGTGAGTCCCGGAGTCCAGAGTGAGTCCCAGGGCAGTGTGACTGCATGCTGCGGGTGGACACTTGTGTTCCAGGCCAGACGAGTGTCCAGCCAGGACTGGCAACAAAAAGAAGCCACTAAGCCTACCGCTCCCATATATATGCAAGCCACTTGGCTTGGCAGTTTCACGAAGACCGGTACTTCTGAGCTGGACGAGGAGAAGTTTCTCCCATCCCACCTTTCCCACCCCTGGGCTCTCACCAGCCGAAGCAGCAGCATGGAGGACAGTGTGTACCGCAGGATGTCCTGAGGAAGGGGGCAGTGTGTCACCCGGGGGTGGGCGCTACGGGACAAAAGGCAGGAGCCCCCACCACTGGCTGGGGCTGTCTTGGCCCATCCCCGGCTCAGCACCTGGGCCCTATTCCCTCCGTGGCTGGAGGACACTTACCACGTTAAATACATTGGACACAAACACCTGGACATCCACGAGCAGGGGCGCGCTCCCATTGTTCGGAATCTGGATGGTTTCCTGAACCTCCTGGGGCCAGTTGAAGTCCAAGAAGGATGGCCAGGCTGAAGGATGGAGGTCAAGGTCATTTGGGTGGGTGCCCTGGGGTCCAAATCCTAAAGCCTAACGACTTTACACTCTCCACCTACCAACTGTTGGCGAGCGAAATCCACGCCCCTGGACCAACGGCCCGGTGGTGCCGAGCCTGAGGAAGGCCAAATGGAGCAGCAGGGGCTGCAGGGCCATCATCAGGGGCTGCATGGAAGGCTGGATGGAGCAGCAGAGCCTAAACTGCAACCTCAGTTTCAGTTGCTTCTCTGGGGGACTGGGCAGTTAGAGGCAGGTGCTCTGTGCAAGGGCTCTGGGGCCTTGGAGCTGGCATCCCACCCCAGGGTTCTGCAAACACCTGAACACAAAGCATAGGACCCAGCCCCGCCCACCCTGCACCTGTCTAGGCTTCCCTGTCCTGCTCCATTTCCACCACCTGGAAGTTGCCCCATTCAAAGACTGCCAAGCGAACCAGGCAAGCACACGTCCCCTCCCCCCCCCCGCCCCAATACACACACCTTTCCCTAACTCCATCCTTCCGATCTGGGCAGATGCCATAGGCCTTCCTGTGTTTCTGCAGCGGGTGCTTGCCCGGTTAAGTACTCAAGCCCTTGCCAAAGTGCTCTGCACTCAACATCGTGAGATCCGTAAGCCCTTGAGAGTTTTCCTGCGTCTCCTCAAACACTGAACTGATTCCATGTAAAAAGCCTGGAAAGGGTCAAGAACTCCAGGAGTTGGGCAAACCCGGGGCAGGGTAGAGGCTAGCTCATGAGCAGAGCTGTAGCATTCCTGCTCCAATACCGGATTCTCAGCCTGCTCCAGCCCAGCGGTGCCTTAGAGCTGCTCCTGGGTGCCCTGGAGGAGGACTGGTGGGGGTGAGGGGCGCCTTTC